TATTTTTCTTAAGCCTAATTACCTGCCCGCAACGACTTAATTTTGTTTATTACAAGTTTTAAAATGACAAGTTCATCTGCCACCGGAAAGCAGCGCTGCTTTAGCGACAATGAAAGGCCGCAGCCCTGCAAGCACTTATGCATATGCTTCACGTTTTGCATGTAAATAGTCCCATTGACTAAATCCCCCTTCTTTGAAAGGGAAGAAAAGGCTGAAAGGCAATCATTGTTTTCCCAGGCAAACAGTGCTGGAGAAGAAAGGAACAAGTTAGGAATATAGAAAATTAACTCATTTCCCTTCGCCCACCACATGCATGCATATCCTGAAACTCCTAAATTTACTTCAAGGATCTAAAGTCTCTTCTGTATGAAGCCCAGTTTTTCAGTGTCTCAATGCTTTGTTAGTTTTCCAAGGCAATTTATTTAGGCAGATCTAACATGGTGCAAAAAAACTTTTAAAAGATAATTCAAGAGAAAACATTATGAGCAAGCCAAGACCAGCTCTGATATTCAAACTCCTCTGTAAGTGTGAAAATAAAAGGAGTCAGGGGAACTCAAACAACTATCTAGGAAGGAAAAATGCATTCAAACACGGTAGAAATTAAAAAATTCAAGACAATCTTCCCCTGAGCTTCCCAGATAGCTCCATCCCCATTTCATCTGAGCTGGATAATAGCAGGTGTATTGCTTCAAGTTAAAGTCACCTTAGGATAGACGTGGCAGCACTGATCACAGAGTCACAGAATGGCTTGTTTTGGAAAGGACCATGTAATTCCAGCCCCCTGCCATGGGCAGGGACACCTTGCACTATCCCAGGTTGCTCAGAGCCCCACCCAACCTGCCCTTGGACACTTCCAGGGCTGGGGCATTCACAGCTTCTCTGGCCAACCTGTGCCAGGGCCTCACCACTCACACAGAGCAGAATTTCTTCTTTGTGTCCAAGCTAAACCCACCCTCTTTCAGTTTACAGCCGTTCCCCCTTGTCCTATCATGTATTGTCAGCAAAAAGTGGTCTCAGACCTGGCAGTGTCCTAGAGGATAAGAAATCTCCTGGCTTCCCTCTCTAAGCAAGAGGAGGAGCAGCTCACAGCCTTGACCTGAAGCTTCCCCCCACTACAAAAGAGAATGGAAAAGACGAAGCTTTTTTTTTTTTTGCCTGTCTCTGCCCTACAGCAGCCCAGCCAGAAGCACTGACATCCATTTAGGGCCCTGATGCTCGGGCACAGCCTGAGAGCCCCGCGCTGCAGCCCAGCCCAGCGTCCCACCAGGTGCAGTCTGCGGGCAAAGAGGTGTGGAACAAATCTGAAAACAACATTACTGAGGGCTGTGGGCAGCTCATTAACAGCAGCACTGACATCAGCAAGTGGAAATAGTCCCCTGTTACTCACACACACACACACACACATCACACGTGGGTTCCTACGCCAAAAACCAGATCTGCTGCTTTGCCTCAGACTGGCTCATGTTTTTTTCCGCTTGATAAAGTCTCATGAGTTACTCTGAAGTTTCTTCCATCACTGACTTCTTTCAAACCTGACTATTGTACCACCATTACTGAACCCACATGAGAGATTTAGCAAGTGGAAAGAATTAAAATAAATTTGCTAGTATGAATTTTCCTATAGCTGTTCTTCATCAATTCTCATTTTAAAAAAGCATCCTTAACTTGCACGAGTTAAGACCTATATAAAAGCAGATTGGGCTGGAACTACTGCTTTGAGGTTCCTTCCAGCCTAAAATATTCTAAGATGTAAATTGCTTATCACAGCAATAACTTTGGCACAAGGGAGAAGACAGAGCAGCAGTCATTGCTGTGATTACAACGAACAGATATGGGTTCAATTAACACAGCCTTTGTTAATTGAAGAGTTCTTGTAGCCTGGAGAGCTACAGCTGATACAACCTCTGCTTCTCAGGTGCCGTCAAGTTACCACCTGACAAATCTTCCAAGCAGTGGAACTGAATCTATACAAATATTTCAGTGTTTCTTACTGTCCAGAGATTACACTTAAATTGATAAAATAGGACCATGAGTGAAAAAAATACATGGAATTAATTAAGAATCATAAGTAAACTCTTTCTGACAGAGAAGTCCTGTGACATCTAGCAGTGGTGAAACCAACAGGCTTGTGGAACAGATTACTTGGAGAGCCAGGAGGACCCAGGTGAACGTACCTGCTGTGGTGGCACTTTGGCTGGACACCATTCCTCACTGGGCCCAGGGTCCCAGCAGCTGGAGCCCAGACAGGCAGGGAACAGAGCTCCCAAGCTGCCTTCGTGACACGGAACGTGTCCAATTCACACCACAGCCGTTCGTGTGATTTGCCAGATGAAGGGGTGGCCTTGACAGAATTAAAAGCTGCTGATGGATCAGTGAGGCCAAGAGAGCTGATGCATATTTTTTTTTAAAGGTTACTATTCAAGGAAGCAGTGTAGTGCACAGCAGTAACAAAAGGATTGTGGTAACCAACAAATTATTCCCTGAAGAAAATTCCTCCAAAATTGGGTAGTGACAGAATCCAATCAGGGGGGAAAAAGAAAAAAAAAACCAGACCAAAAAACCCACCAGACCCAAACACAAAGAATAAAATCCTTGCAGAACAAGGATCTTTCTCTTTTAATTTCTACAAGACTGGAAACCAGATGTACTTACTTTATTTCTTTTTTTTTTAATTTATCAATTTTTTATTTTACCAGACTGCCTAAGACTAAGCTGTCTTGAACACTGAAAACCTTCCTCCAAAAAAATACCTAAAAAACAGTTTTCTTGATTTTAGCTTACAGATTACTGAATAACCCACAGGCCACCAGCTTCTCTCCTGCTATTTCTAAGTCAGTCCAGATCAAGCTGGATGGGGAGGGGAAAGGCAGGTTTGGGCTTTGTTTGATTTGGTTTTAGGCTAAAGCTCAAGGTCCGTTTATTTAGGAAAGAGATTCCCACCCCCCACATGCAGTGTATTTTAAGTTCAATGGAAAATAAGAATAGAAAATAATACAGGAGTATATAATCCACATGCCAAGTGAGGTCTAATGCACACTCAGTTCTAGGTTTTGGGGTTAGAATTTTTCAAGAAAGAATTTTCTTTTCCTCTTTTACTACATTTTACATAATTTCCATAACTTTCCTTAAATGCTGACTTTTTTTGTCAGCAGGTGAGTGCTAAGGTTCCCCTTTCTAAAGCTATCAAAGCTGCTTTTTGGAGAAGGATCACTTATTTCCTCCAGGGCCTGAGACCGTCTCCCTGAAATAACTCCTCCAGCCACCCCATGAGTAAAACACTGAGCTTGACTCCAGCTGGAGGCTTTGGAGGCAGGTTTCAGCTCACCTGCCTGAGCAGCCAGGCACAAAAATCCCCATAGGAGAGGAACAAGGGGCACTTTTGCCCCTTTGCTTCCAACAGGGATCCAAGGGCTTGGAAAGGAGCGCGCAGCGGTTCGCATCAGTGCGCGAGATGAATATAAAACCCAAACCAAACCACGATTTGTTTTTCAGTTTATTAAAGGAAATGTTTTCATATAATTAATCATGGTCCGTGAGGCTGCTTTATCCAACGCCGTTCCTCCCTACCCCCGCCATCCCACATGGAGCCTTAGCCGGACTAAAATTTTGCAAAGCCTTGCATTGTTCTCCCTGACACCGGATCAGCGGACACAAAAAAGCAACTGCCAGCTCAAAAGCAATCCGGCGATAGAGCCTGGTGCTATCTAATCAAGGGCAAAAGGTCACTTCCGAACAACTGGGCAATAAAAGATTATTTCCAGCCGCAGAACAGAAAGGCCCAGTGGTGGATGCTTGAAAGAGGGGGGTGGAAGGAGGGCAAAAGGGCTCCCGTCTGTGGGAGGAAGTGCATTGAATAAAGCCAGCAGACGGGAACCATCTGGCTTTGTGCGTGGTCTGTTCTTCAGAGGAGAGAGAAAGCCCCCTCAGCGGGGCCAGTGACTCCGTGCAATGATTCAAACTTTTCTTCTTCTTCCTTTTTTTTTTTTTTTTTCCTTTCTCTCCCCCATCAATTTTAAAGCAGCTTTCCCAGGCACCAAAAAATTGGAAACCGGAACTCTCCTAACGGGCGGATGGATGCGCCTCATCAAGTGCAAGCTGCAAGATGGAGCCCGTGTTTTATCTTGGTCATGAGATGGCTCTTATCAGGGAGAGAGGCCGGTGGATGAGCAGACAGGGCTTTTTTAGTTTGTTTTGTTTTTAAGGATGGCTTCAGAAGAAGCCTCCCAGGGACCCAGCAGAGTCAAATTCCCAACCCACCCAGTACACTGAGTTTTGGTTGCATTTTTAAGCAGCAAACGGCATTTCCAGCAGCATCACCTTTATTATGTATACCTCATGCATTTTCCCCCTTCCTCTCTCTCTCCCCACTTGTTATATGGCCTCGCTTGAATGAAAGCAAGAAAATAAAAGGGCCAGATTACATTCAGTCCAGTTGCCATGGCCTGTGGGAGGGCAGAATTGCAAACACTTCAGTACAAATGGTACAATCCCTCCTCCCTCCCCTCGGCCCCGCAGTTGTCCTCCATGTCCTCACTTTCCCTCGCTCCCTGGTTCGCACCGGAGGCCTTTGGCACTCGGCGGCGAGGAGCTGAATCTATTCAAGCGCCCAGACACCTCCTCCGTTCACCAGTGAATTAACTTTAAGCATGCAAATCACACTAATCCAGAATTCACAGGAGAGGAAGTCAGGAGGGTTCCCAGTGGTCTGGGAAATATTTTTCCTTTCGAGAAGGGAAGGGGAGGGGGGGTCATTGCACTCTTCTTTAGAGCTCGCTGCAGGTCACTCTGGCTCATCTCAAAGAAAGTTTAGTTCAGAGGCTCAGCTTGACATTCATTGGTTTCTAAATCGGAACCTCTTGAGTGATTGTCCCCCAGCAGTCCCAGGGATTGGGGCCTGAGCAAATACCCCCGACTAATTCTGCTGTAGTGGAGGGGAAACGAAGCAGTTAAATGTCCAGTTTATCAACAGAAAACAACAACTGAGCCTTTGTCCTAACAGGGTGCAGGAGGAAACCGTTTTGCAGGGCTCATCTGCATGAGAAACCCGGGCAGCTGGGAAACACCAACATACGGCTTGGGGGAAGATCCACGAAGACATTGGAGGAGAAAAATATTCCATACATCGGCTCTCTGTACCTCCACCTTCAAGAACGAAGTAAAAACTCTGGAATTCAAAGTTGGGCACAGCTTGATAGCTGAGGGGCTTTGTTTTAAAGGAGAAAAAAACCCAACCAACACCAAAAAATCCCACAAAGTAAAAGTTTAAATTGAGAATTTACACAGCAGCTCCTCTGCCACAGCCTATTTGTTAGAGAATGAAGAAAAAAAAAAAAAAACACTACCAAAAGCAAGGTGACCAAATGGCCAAGCCAACAGCTCTGGTATTTATTCTCTACAGCTCTGCAAGCTGAGGCGGTGCAAAGACACCAGAGTTTCTGCTATGGTCTCACCAAACAGACACGGAAAGGCAGGACATGCAAAGTTTGGAGATGCAAAGCCAAAGAGGAAAACCACAGAGTTGAAATGGACCTACTATAAAGTAGGTTAAAAAACCCCAATGTCACTCCTCCTGCCCCTCTTTTTTTGTTTGTTTTTTTTTTTTTTTTTTTTGCCACTCAGCACTGAGCTATTCTCAGTTTCACTTAGCTAAGGGTTTGTTGGCAGTCACAGGCATTTTTCTCTAAGGATTTTTAGACACCCAGAAGTGGTTGGAAAAGCACAGGCAAAGGACATTGCCCACCACATTCCCTGTCTATCTGAGAGCTGAGCAAAAAGGCTTGCCCTGTTATTGCCCAGGGTGAGGTCTATAACCCATATAGCAGACATAGAAACCGCATTCCACTTGCTCATCAAACCCAGTGGGAAAACAGCTTGAAGGTGGGAGGGAAAAAATCCGAAATGTAAAGCAGGTGAGCCTCAGGTTAAGGCAGCTGCTGCTTTAACAGCCACTTTCAGCACTTCAGAAAGTGAAACCACTTACTGGAACAACAAGTCTGTGTGCAAGGAGGGGATGGCTGAGAAAATGTGTCCCTGGAACAGACCCTTTAGGGACAGGCCAAGGCGAGATGATGAGGTTATCACCAGGAAGATCACAGCCCCAAACTTCAAGGTCACAACCTGCAGGAAATTAGACAAAGCCTTTAAAGAGAAGCAAATCCAGCCTTTTCTGGAGTGCCCCACAAGAGAAAACCACCCAAAGGGCCGCTGCCATGGCCCAGCAGGACAATATCCACATTCCAGCCACAACGGAGCCAAACAGCTTCACTGCAGTGGGGGCAGCTCCTACTCCCACGTACCATGATTAAAAACCTGGAGACTCAACAGTTGTTTCAGAGCTCCACTGGCATTCTTTGAGGCCAGAGCGTGCCCTACGCTGGGCAGCCACCCTGCTTTCCACTCCACTTAGCATTAATTACAAGCCTCTTTCTTGGATAGCTTGGCAGCTTTGTGGTTCAAGGGGGGAAGGAGCAGAGGGGGGAGAAAAAAAATAAATCTCATCCTATTAAGTGTAGCCCAGCGACCAAAAGACTCTGAAAGATAGGAAACCCTTCTCAGCGTGAACAAGCAGCGGAACTGCACTTTAAAATACAGGTTTTAATTGCAAGTGGCATTTCCAAGCTACCCTGCTCCTGGGGCCACCTCGATGAGGGCCAGGCATGCTATCAGACAGTTAATACCCTCCAACAAACAGCTTCCCACTCCCAGCCACAAACAGGGTTTTAAACATGCCCCATTTGTATCACAAAAGGCAGTCAAAGCCCCTGTCCTTGCAGGAGGCTCGGCTCTAGTTAGGCACCCAACAAAGGCTAAATTGGTAAGAACCTCCATTTGGTCTCTCTGGCTGACTCAAACCCAGCATTTTGCTGGGAGCAGATTCTGTAGTTCTCGTAACAAGCCCCTGTAGCTTGATCACAGATCACAGACCAGTTTTAGCTGATACCCTTAGCGCAGACTCACCAAATCCAGTGGAGCTCCAGAAGGGATGCAGGAGAACAGCACAGCTCTCCTGTCATAAACCCTTGGGTTTAAGGCTGCAGTCTTAGGGCAAGCCTGAAGGAAATCAAGACCATACCATGACCTGCCTCAAGAAGAGCAGGTCTGCTTAATATCCCTCTATATAACCAAAGCCTCTTGTTCTGGGTGTTCCCTCAGCTGTGGGAAGTTAGGGACTTCTAATTCTGTGGAGCATCCTAAGTGTTCTCAAGGGGCAGAAAGGAGTTTGCCACCAGCTGAGTTGCTCAGAGCTTTCCAGGCAGATTTTTTAATTTTGCCTTGAATTTACAGACTCTGGAGCATCTGTCTGCCATGTTCTCAGCATCCTAACTGGTTTAGCCAGCAACACACACTGCCATCTCTTGCCGATGTGAGATCCTTTAGGTTTGTAACCTAAGGGAAATACATGCCAGTAATCTACTGTGCAGATGAGGCAAGCAGTCCCTATTCCTTACATCCAGTTGTAAATCAAATGGTTTCCTGCCTAAGTCTAGATAAGAATACAGCCCCCAAGCTATGTACCATCTGACAGCACTGAGCCCTTTTGTTAGGGAAATGATTGCAAGTGACTCAGTGCTTTCACCTGTTCTCCTTTGCCAGGTATCATCTCCTCTGGATGTCTGGACTGAGCTGAGGCTTCAGCAGAAACTTGAAGCTGAGACTCTTTAGACAAGAAATTCCATCTGGGGTCTGGCTTCACAGGCCACCCCTGCATTTCCAGCACAGGAGGGCAACGGAGACAGAGCCACTTCCCCAAAAAACATTCCCTTTGCAACCATATCCTGGTGAGACCTGGCTCCTGCACTTGGGAAAGTGCTTAATTCCAGGATTTGCTGAACCTGACAGCCTTTAACCTCCAGCCCTTGCCACAGCCTGTGGCAGCCCTGTCGTGAGAGATTGCTTTGAAAGCAAGCTGATGGCAGAAGAAGGATGTAGGGAGTTTTAAAAAGGATTTTCCTTTCTGACTCTGGTGCATTTCTGTACAGCCTTTTCCAACTCCTCCTTTCCTTCGTGGCTGTTGTCACTCACGCTTTTCCTGTCTCACTGCTGCCCTTTCTACCCAGCGAGTGGGTTTGCTCTGTGGCATGCTTCCCACCATCGCTGCAGGCACAAAACCGAAAACTCTGATGTCACATCTTGTAACCCATCACAAAGCGCCTTGGTTGAAACAGGGAGATGGGATGAGGTCATCAAGAGTTGTAACCATTCTCTGTTTTTGGCACAACACCTCCTTATCTGGGAGGCATCACGGGGAGGGCATTGAAAAGGTTACATAAAATCAAAACAGAATTGTCAGGCGTTCCTCTCCCCAGCATTTGTTTTGGCAAATTTACATCCTCTGAAAAACATGAGTGAGGCGTCATTTTCCTCAGGAGAACATCTCCTATGAGCAGGGCTGACACAAAGAACAGTCTGCTAAGGGTGCTGGGGAGGCCTTAGAGGCAGGAGGGGAAAACCTTTGGTGTGCAGATATCCCCACGTGTCTCTGTGCCCACGGAACCCAGGAGGAGGAAATGATTATCCATCATACAGCTCCTATCATGGGAAATATTGTCATTATTGTTTTATTGGATGATATAAATGCGCTGTCCATGAGCACAGAAGAGCCAGAAAAAACCTTTGCATTGGCATCTCATGGAAGCACTGCCGCAGGCTCACAGGCAGGAAGAGTGATGGGCACGTACCTTGTTCATTCACATCTCCTCCATCTTCCTAAATTATCTGCAAGGAACTGGAGAAAGGGGGGAATAATCAGAATCCCCTAACAAACCTACCAGTGAGGCAGCTGTACAGCTTGGCTCCAAGCCTCTGCTCAGAATCTCTTTCTCCTCTTTTTCAGAGCCCAGTGAAGATGAGCAACAGAGGACAAGGACATCCTTCCATCTGCTCCCGCTCTGGAGCAGAGGTACATCCAAAATGCTGCAGCTCTGCAATCCTTCTCTCCTTCTGGGACAGTTTCTGTGGTAAGATTTACAGCCTAAAAGGTATCACTGAAGTCATAACTACAAAGATGGGCAGCTACAACAGGAAGGAGGAGAAACAAAAGTATTTTACTGGGTTCAAGCTTTGCAGATGGTGAGAACAAGAAGCAAAAGTCATGCTCACAGTTAAAGCTAATGAAATTCTGCAATCCCCATGGGAAACTCAGAAACACAGGCATGGAACGCAGAACTGCTTCTTGATTTCATTTATTTTGTGATACTTTGGTTACATGTTCAAATGCAACACATGGATGGAGTGCAGGGACTGACTTTCCTCAGGTGCTGCTGGAAACATCCCATTTTTGGTTCATAGCACTTGCAGTGGTGTGTCTTAAGGCAGAGAGGTAAGGAAGGAGAGCACCTCTAACACAGAGAGAGGCATGAGCATCCCAATTTAGACACTGTCCATCTGCCCCAATCCAGTTTTTGATAATTGTTAATAACATTGCAAGAGCATCTCTTTGTATCTTCTTCATAGGCATCCATAGCCCTCCATTAGCAAGATAAGATTAAACAACAGCCACTTCTATCTTTATGTGGTAAAACAAGCTTCTGTATTTAAGATAAACTTTACAGGACAGGTGGCTTCCTAGAATGGAATATCCCCAAGAAAACATTTAACTACCCTACATAAATGTCAACAAGGTATGAGAAGAGTGCACCTAATAAAGGAGATAGAGGCTACAATAAAAAGGGGCCCTAAATCAAAGAGCAGGTTCACACCAGCAAACACTCACTCACACACTGGGCTGATTGGAACAGGGCCCTCAGCATTGCTGCCAGCCCAGCAGCTCTCCTGGTGTGGCTTTCCCTGCCTTTGCTTGGAGGTTTGACCCACACCATCACCTTGCTGGGGTTGTGGCCGGGACTGCATCCACAAAACTGCCCATGCGGGTTCTGGATTGGGAGCTCGGTGTGCACTCCTACCTTTATCGGCCCTTAAAAAAAAAAAAAAACGGAAAAAAAAAAAGGGGGGGGGAACGCAGAGCAAACATTATCTATTGTTAATTACCTGTAAAGTAGGGCTTTTGCCACTTCCCCAGTTTCTAAGAGCTCTGAAGTGAAACCTGAAAGAAGCCACCCATTGTTTCCAATTGTGCAAGAGCCAGGAGCAAATAGGGCTCAAATTGCAGCTCTGAAAGGCAGCAGGAAATTGGCAGCCCGGTAATCTGCTCCCCACCATTCAGGGGAACAAAGGCGACATTCCTCCTCAAGTAGTCACCATTAGAAACCCAAGGCTGATCTATTTAGTAAGGCCCACAGAATAAATCTGTGGAAATAAAGAGTTTTAATTAGAAGGCCATAGGATATGGCTCTGGTTTCCAGCCCTGCAAGTAACATGTATTATTTAGGCTCTTACCTCGTTTCCCACATATCCAGACGCTGACACCCAGACATCAGCACCGCTGCCATTGAAAAAAAAAACCTCCAAAAACTAATAAATGTGTAAACTGTTCATTACAGGTGGATCATACCATACAGTGTGCTGTACCAAGAACGTTTCCAATTGGTCCCTGTCTTGGGATTATATATTTTCCCCCTAGAGTATTAACAATCCTTCTAACCCACCACACCCTCCCCATCTATGGCATGTTTTAAATATTCTCCAGAAAGTGCTAGTTTCCAGAAGGATGGGGTTTCTCCCTCCCTCCCATCCATCCATCCATCCATCCATCCATCCATCCATCCATCCATCCATCCATCCCTCTGCACAGAATGACTCAGTAATTAAACACTGCTGGTCAAAGGCTCCTGGTTGTGCCAGTGCCTCAGAGTGTGGCTCCAGCCCTCCAGCCCAAGTTTTCCCAGCAGCCAAAGAGAAGCGTTTCCTTCGGAGCTGTTCTGTCAGGCACAGTTCATTTAAGAGAATTTAAGTCCAAGTGCAAAATGCTCTGAGACACCTCGCAATTTTTGCCACCTGAACAGGTAAAGTTGTCCCAACCCCAGTGTGTTAGAACTGCCAGGAGGGAGAGCAGATGAGGTTAACTTTTCCAGGGGATTTACCTGCACCTGGCAGCAGTGCTGGATAACTCTGGGACTACCATGGCAAGTGCTTCTGCTCCAGTACAGGGCAAGGGATGGAAAGTGAGGATACAAGAACACAGGCCCTAGAACTCCGGGTTTGAAAGCCCATACAAAAATCTCTGTGGAGACTCCAGAATGGCACCTTCCATTGCTACCCCTTGCTCCAGAGAGACCCCTTGGCTATTCAACACAGCAGAACAGGTGCATTTTCAGTTCTAACAGTGTTTCCTCACATACTCTTGGCAGATCAGTAAATTCAAGCCCAAGTACAGCCAAAGTTTGGCAAAGTTCATACCTAGAGTTGAATTTCAGAACAGAACAACTTCATGACATCCAGCTATCCTGTATTTCCTGCCCTGACTAACTGGGTTTATCCTCACCTTGAATTGGATGAGATACAGCACATGTAAAAATGTATTAAATCAAAAAGTGTCTTAGTGACAGCACAGGTGCTCCTGTAGTCATAGCACATTTCATCCAGAAAAGCTTTGCATGCCATCTAGAAAAATGGACAGTTATTCCCTAAAAGGAAGGGGTCAGGTAAATGAGACTGGATTTAGGTAAGACTTTGGTATAAAAAGAAGGTACTGTGCAATCTCCCAGTACCCAGGTTAGAGAAAAGCTCCAGCACTTCCCCTTCCTTTCAGGCAATTAGTTTATAAATTTTTATCTGCAAGTGTGCTACTCCTAAAGTGCACAGATCCAAAAACAACAAATCAGACATCACACAAGAAACAAAGCTTTGGAGAGAACCTTCACCAGGTCACGTAAATTCATCTCTTCCTCCTGCTTGGAGTATGGAAGAGGAATCCTCACAGCACTGCAAGAACTCTCAGGCAGTTTGGAAATTGAAGTGTGTGCCAGAGAACAGGAGGTTTCATTTAAAACAGCCATGGAGTGGTTAATCAGTTATGTAATACCAGCCTATTTAGGGAGCTCCAGCTCCTTCTCACAGTCACTTTATCCCACAAACTAAGGACATCCTAACATTTATGAGCACTGGCCATTCCTGTCACCCAGCCAGCTCATTCACTGGTGTAAATCCATCAGCTCCATTCAGAAGAAATATTCCATGGAATAAACCCGCTCATACTCCGGCAGCGACCCTGCGGGGTCAGGCAGGATGTCCCATTGTGCTCCTTCTTGCACAAACACAATGGGGTTCAGCCCCTGGGGGCAGAGCCTCTGTCAGGCTGTTTGTGCCTCCTGACATCGTGTTCTGCAGGATGTTTGTTTTCAGGTCGGGGCACCGAAGGTGTAGACAAAGCTTCACAAAACAGGGCCGTGCTTACAAGGCCAGAGCCACGGCTATCAGGCACACCTTTCTCCAAGGACTGTACCAAAAGGATGTTTCTCTGCTCCAATAAAGAGCTACCACACTTTCAAGCTAATTTTGGAATATGTACTTCTCCTGGAAGCACACTCTGTCTCTTATAATGCTGCCCCATGCATGTATCAGGAATACTGAGAAATCCTGGTGAATTTCTGGTTCTTTTCTGATGCTAAAATCAAATGTTATTTATTAAGACTCTTGTCTCATCCATACATACTTAAACTGAAAAGCCAAGCCATGTGTGGTTTGCAGGGAAACTTTCCCCAATTTGTATTTATTGGTCAGTAAATGAGGCAGTATCTCAAGACACCTTCAGCAAGGAGGGGTGGGAATGGCAGCTCCTGGGAAAACCAACTGCACTGCATCCATTTATCACAAATACAAACTGAGGGGTAAATGCCACTCTGGAGATCACACAGTTTTTGAGCAGATCCTTCCAGTGAGCAGAAAGCTCCTTACCACGGGCTCCCCATGGCTGGGTACCTAATGCCAAGGGGAGAAGCCATGCCTTGGCTCCTCCCACTAGCCAGAGGAAGGCGAAACACAGCCACAGGGAAGAACTACAAATGATTAAGAACTGCCCCAAAAGCAAACCGCCCTCCAAATGCAGGGTCATCAGAACAAGAGCTGTGCAGCCCCATGTGCTGTGTAAGAAGGCTGGTAAATCCAGCTGTGTGAGAGCAGAACAGAATTTATTCCAGGTTTTTTGAAGCACTACCATATGACTGACACAAATGCTGCAGCTGGAAGAAAGCCAACAATTAATCAGGATTCCTTAGAATTTGGAGGCAATTTTAGCAGAACAAGAAATGCAGAAGTATCAGTGAATCCTGAAGAAGATTTTTCCTCCAGGACAAAAATCTATTACTTCATATAAGTCCATTAAAACACTTCATCTAGCCCCTTTAATCCCTTTTAACAGATTTGCTTTATCACAGACAGAGGAGCTAATCCTCTCCTACCTGTCTTTATGATATGGAACCATAAACAAGAGCAAGTACTTTTCATTTGTTAGGCATTATCCCCCCTTGGAAAACACCCTCACCCTCCCCAGCAGTGGTGTAATGGAGCCGTCTTTGGAGAAACACCCTGAATCTGAGGGCAAATTCTCGCCCTGGCCATGGATTCCTCCAGCATGGAACATGGAAACTTTATCTACCCATTGGTTTTATTGCTAAATTACTGTTTCCTAAACTCTTATCACGAGTTTCGAGACATTAAGCAAAGCAAGAATTCCAACTTTCTGGACTTCTCTTTTTCCTTCAACCCAGACCTTACACGCCTGAGGCCTCTGCTGTTGGAACCAGATGGCAGCCTCAGCCAAATCCATCACCCACCCATGCAATTAGGTCAGTAGGTCAGCTGAACTTACTGCCTAATTACACCATCATTTCACACAGAGTTCTCTTGGCTTCTCAAAAGAAGATCTCAGAAATATCAGGGAAAAAAAGTCACTTTTTATGTTGCAACAGGCTCTGACAGTCTGTCGCTCTGCAGATATGGAGGTGTAACCTCAAACAGCCCCTGATAAATTTGGGGCTGAAGGACTGAAATGTGCATTCAGTGCCCTAATTGCTGGAAATCCCCTCAGCAAACCCCCTTCTAACAGAACACAGCATCCTTGGATGGATGGAAAGTGGAACAGACACAGTGGCAGACCACTTGTGGTTCTACACCACAAAATCCAGCTGCCTGATGAATCCCCAGTCTTTTCCATGGCATAGTGGCAATGACGTTCCAGAGTACCCGGAAGTGAGCTCAGATATATTTGGATGTTAAATACAAAGCATACAGCATCTAACCCAAGAGAAAAATACATTATCCTCATTTTTCTAACACTGCCTGCTCTACCTGGCAATTAGAAAACCATGTAAGACCTGCAAGGAACTGTTTTCTTCTCTTTGCTGTGTAGGTCCAAATCAATTTTTTCTCCAGAGGAGCTGCAACCTCAGGTTATTCCCAAAATCTGGTTAGTAAAGGGAGCACTAGTATGATTAACTAGAGCGTAGCTTTTGTTTTAAAAAAGAGATCTGAAACAGTGCCACGACACAGCTCCTGATGGAGGACAATCACTAAAGGATGGAGAACACGTGGGTCCTTTGGGATTTCTCCTCTTCTGCTAGGAACCAACCCAAGCCCCCAGATAAGTCACCTGGCTGGAATAAAAAAGAGACAGCGGTACAGAGGGCAACGTTTTCCTTGAGGAGGCACAAGCAGCGCCCCTGGAGCAAAGGCCCCGAGCAGGGAGCTGGCTGTGATCCAGCTGTGACGAGGCAGTTGGCTCCGTGTTCCCGGGTGTCAGCGCACAGTTACCAGTGGACATCTCTGGCCAGCGCCGGACAAGGCCTCCATTGTGTCCGCGGGGCCACTTGCAGCTGTCGCTCTTCGAGACGCGCGGTGATAGCGAAGGAGTGCAAGTCCCTGCTCCTCGGGAACATTCCTCTCCTGGCTTTGCTTCCTCTCAGGAAATCTTGGACAGCAGAATCCGTGTGCATCCAGTGCTGCCCCACAAGCCCCCCAGCCCGTCACTTGTGTCACACAGAGGAGCAGCACCAGCCGCATCCTGCAAAGCGTCTAGCACTCAGATGATGATTTCTCTTTGTGCCTCTCAGGGGTCATCTGTGCTGCTAAATAAAAGAGCAGCTTTTCAGTCAGCTCTGTTCGGTGACACTGCATCAGCTGGCATGGAATTAACTACAAATCATCACCGTGCTGGGAGTCAGAGCAGCTTGAATATGGCAACTCAAAGCAGCAGGACTTAAAAAAAGAGCAAGATATGACACATTTGTCAAGTCATCGCTCTGTTCTGAAGTGGAGCTTCTCTAGAACCACTTACTCTGAACACCATGTGAAACTGCATCCATTTAAAACTTTCAAAGTTCAGGGGAATTGTGATGTAACCTTGACCCACATAAGGAAAAGAATGAGGTCTCCCCTTTCACTCTTAATGAAAAGCTTTTTCTGTGGAATGTGTGTTAAATGGCCACAAGTAGCTGTGACACTTAGGTCACCCTTAAGAGCCTTTAATTTAAAGACAGAAGATTCAGTTGACATTGGAAAACGTATGGGAAAACAACCGAATAAGTCACAGACGTGGGCCCAGGCGCGCACACACGTTCCCAGATTTCAAAGCTACCAAACTACAGCAACACAATCACTGTTTTTCATCCTGCCTCCAAGTTTTTTATTTAAAATCCAGCTGGGAAGATTCATTTCTTCAGCTGCTGCACAATTTAACCAGACAGGAAGTTCTATATAGGAAAATTTTAAATGGCTTTGCATGTTAATGCGGTATTCCTTAAGAAAAAACAAAAAATAATAAAAAAAAAAACCAAACCAACAAAGAAACGACTTGGAAGTTGTGGTTTCCTCCTCCACAACTGTATTTCCAAATTCTTTGGTAAATAAATAGAGCCTCCATTTCTTGGCACTGTTAAGCACAACACAGATTCAATTGTATTAAATATCCCTTATTTGATATATAGTTGGCTTAAACTTAAGATTAGGTAAACTAAACTAGAGCACAGACTAGTGGCTTTGAAGTACCAACAGGAGGTTGTTTGCCACCTGACAGACCTGAAGGAGGAACAGCCCAGCAATGCACACACGTAGCTCACAACCTGTCGTTGTAACAAAAGAACTCCAGAGGCGTTTTCATTAATTAATATATTTTCTGCATTATAGTTAACATATGTACTTTCTTCGTGTCATCCTTATTTCGTTAAGTATTGATATTTTGTTATATTCAGACATGAGTACATTTTCGAAGTCTTTTGCAATAAATATCATAAAATAATAGAGATTCACATAATAAATATTCTTTACAATAAAAAAAGTTTTAACAGACTTTTGTCTTAAAAATAGTTGGGATTCAACTTTGTGTTTTATACATAAAATATACAAAAAAGGACCACAATTTGTGGCTAAGGCAATAAAACAGGGACAGAATAAAATTATAAAGTACAGAGCAGAGCTAAACTCACTAAGCCAAAGGATCACAAGAGACTTGAAGGATTCAAGAACGTTTAGGTGACTCAATGACACCTGAAGGCTGTTTGGATATATGAACACCACCAACTTTAATATCAACTGATACTGACAGACTATAAAAACGGGATTAGGAGGGTGGAGTGAGCAATATCCTTCAAAGACTGGACAGCAAAAGAAACATATGAGTATGCTGCAGCCACAATGTCTCCAATGTGAAGATCTGCACAGTGTAGCAAAAACTGAAGTTACATTGAAAATGTAAAATAGAAAAAATGAAGAAAAAAAGGGCAGGGCAATTCTCAGACCTGAGAATGCTCCAAAAGTTAAGACAAAAAGAGAGGGGAGTGGAAACAAAAAAAAGATGCAAAAAGAAGCAGGCTGCTTATAGAAGAGTCAGGCCTTTCATTTGGTGAAGCCTTTATTTTACATCCCTCTCCAGAAAGAACACACACAAAAAGTTATTTCACAATCCAGCTCACTCAGGGAAGTTATTCTTCCTTGGCACCCGGGAGGTTAAGGAGAAAAAAAACATAACTTGCTGAGAACAAAAAAAAAAAAACCAAAAACAACAAACAAAAAAGACATCTTTGGGAAGATATTCACAGAGCAAGAAGCTTCAAGAGCCCAGTGAGCCCTCACTGTCTCTTTCAGGAGTGGTTCAGTTGCAAACTCAAAGACCCTGCCCGAGCGAGCGGCAGGTGCAGATCCCAGGTCCACACTTACCAAAGAGCAGCAGCGACTGCGTGAAACGCTCCACACTCAGCCAAGTCAGTAGGAGGAGGAGAGCAAAGATGCAAGGGGACGAACTCATGTGTCTGAAGTTGGGCAGACAGAAAGGAAAGGAACAGTCCTCCCAAATTGGGAGAGGAAGGGGGGGAAGAAGAAAAGATGGGGGGAGGGGAAAAAAAACCCATCAGCTACAACCTGAAAAACTGAAGTTGGAGGAAGTAAACCTCCCTCCCAAAATCATGAGGGCTTGCCCTGACCCCGGGAGGGGCAGCTCTCCAGTTTACAATAGACCGTGTTGGAGTTCTTGCACCGGCACCCCGGACGATTGACGCGGTCGTAGCACCCCCGGCAGAGTTTTAGGCATCCTTTGGCCGGAGGGTAGCAGAGCAAGCAAGGCAGGAACAAGGACATGGCTCCCATGCACAGGTACCTAGAACAGCAGTGTGACTGGGAGCAGGAGCAGGGATTATCCGCGTACGAGTCCCCTTCATCGTCGTTGGAACAGTGGTAGAAGATCCCTTTGACCAGGCACATGCAGGTGCCGTACTCCACCATGCTCTCGGCCGAGCACAGGCACTGCCGGTTGCAGGCCAGGCAGGAGGGCAGGGCCCGCGGCGCCGTGCACTCCCCGCACTTGCACTTCCCGCACTGCTCGCAGATGAACTTGTGCTGCGTCAAGTCCTCTTTCAAAGGCCCCTTCAGATCGTCCACGATCAGGGCCGACTGCTTGGGCTGCGCCCGGATCGTCCGGTCGGATCTGTGGCCGGAGCCCGGCCGGGAGGGCGGCGAGCGCCCCAGCAGCCCTTGCTCCGAGGAGGCGCTGCTGTTGCTGCCGGAGCTGGCCGCGCTGCCCGTGCTGGTGGATCGGCTCAGGACGGGAGCCCTGGCGTTATGCTGATGTGCCACGTGCCCCGCGTGGCCGGGCCTGTGCTCGTAGTTGTTATTCACATTAATCGGTATAATCTCGTGAGTCCTCTCATGCTTCTCCTGCCTCGGCGCCGTCCGCGGACCCGACTTTTTCACCACCGACGGCCCCTCGGTGTATTCGTTGCTGCCCCTGATGGCCTTGATCTGGTCCAGTGACAAGATGGTGGTGGGCTGGCTGTCCCTGTCATAGTCCAAGCGCTGCCGGCTGTCCAGGGAGGGCTGCTGAATCACCACCAGGGAGCCGCCGCTGCCATGCTGACTTTGGGGCTCCATCTGTAGGGATCTCTGCTGCTGGCATTCAGCGGGAACCTGGCATGCATCTGAAATCCTGAAACGAGGAAGGAGACAGAAGGTGTAAATAAACACCGCCTGCGTACATATACACACACAGGAGATCAAGGGCAGCGGAGGGATGGAGCGCGGGGTACTTTCTGAAAACAGAAATGATCTGGCAAAGCCCAAACTGCCCCAGCCACCTGGTACTGATCACTTTCAGCAGGGGATTACAGCAGTGCTGAGGATCTGGCCAAAGTCCAGTAATGGGGGAGAGTCTGGGTATGGCATCATAGACGAGGAATGCAAAGGAGACCCCATGCCATTTTAAAAAAAAAAATTTACAAAGTTTAAAAATCCAGTATTAACTTGTATGCTGACTTGGCAAGCCATGGGAAGTGCCTCTCCCATGCTACTGAACTCAACATCTGTCTCTAGCAACAGCAGTTCCGAATGCCCCCGACACTGAGCTGGAAAGAGCCAAGAACACCACCACGTTCATGTTTCGCATGGCAGAGTGAGGAACCAGCAGAGTTCTCACTCTGCTGCCTGATTCTGCAGCATCAGAAAGCTCCACAGATTTGCTTCCTAGTGCATTTGGAAAGTCTCCCTCTTAAAGTGACGTATGTGCATTACAGAGTCCTGAACTAAGTGCTGTCAAGTGGCCAAGACATTTTCTGTGAGAAAGCAACTCAGCCTACACATCTAATATGCTCCTTTATAAAATTAAAACAAGGGTGCAAACAACCTGCTTTCAAATATTTCCTGACCACAGGCTGGAGTGTGAAAGAAAAATGGGGTAGAAAAGGCTTAGATGAACTAGGTGTCAAACAAAAAGCACCTGAGGATTCATGAGAATAAGAGCAGATAAAAACCCCTCAACAACAACCTCAAAACACAAAGAACAAATCCATTTTCACAAGACAGACCAAAAGCTTCTCAAATAAACAGAATATCTGCTCATCTATCTTTTATAAATAGTAAGGGAATAGTAGGGATGTTAAACATTTCCATCCCTCCTAGCTTGAGACATGAAGATTGCAACACTGACTGAGAAAACTGCAGTGACAGTTCTGCACCTACACGAAAATGTAGCCAAGTGCCTCATTTATGCAGGGAAACAGGACAACAATCTGCTTTGCTTTACTGTCAAGCCAAAGCAAAAGTACCTTTTCACTCCCCCCCAAGTGTTTACCTGAGAGCAGGGAAAGGTAAGAGCTATCATGCGTTTCAAAAACTCATCCAATAATCCTAAGAAAGTGTCTTGCCTACCCAGAGCACGGCCAGCACGGAGCTGTTCTCCACTCCAGAGAGAAAAAGGTGCAGTGGTGTGGAAGCACAGAAAGAACAAGAAGAGGAAAGGTTTCCTCTGGCAGGCAGTCACCATGGGAAGAAAGTGACAGCTTCTGCCGTGACACAAAGTCTTTGTCCTCATCCAGTAACCAAAGATTTCATTTTACATCTAACATCACCTGTGTGGGCTTTGTGGTCACCAGATTAAACAGAAAACCAAACACTCTCATTTCTAATTCACAGAACAGAATCAGGGCTCGGTTGGAAGGGACCTAAGAGACTTGTGCAGTCCCAAAGCCCCTGGCCATGGGCAGGGACACCTTTCACTAGACCAGGTGGTTCAGAGCTCCATCCGACCTGGCCTTGGACACTTCCAGGGATGGGGCGTTCACGTTTTCCTGTGCCAGTGCCTCACCACCCTCCAGCAGAGAATTTGCTCCTACCCCACACACAACAAGCCGCCTTCTTCACGAGCACTGAATACAAATCCACAACAGACCAAGGGTGAATGAATGCGAAAAGGGGAAGATTTACAGCTGTACCAGCCAGGAGCTGGGCTCCCTAGGGGATAAAAAACAATATCCCAAGAAAATGCGAAAGACATCCAGTGCCATCTTTGGGGGGAAAGCGCAACATCAACGCGGCGCAGACTGACAAGCCCAGCTGCAGACCGGGGCGAGAGCTGAACCAGCCACCTCCACCCCCGAGCAGATCGCTCGTAAACTGCTTCCCCCGCCCCGGACAGCAAAATAAAAATGAGTAAAACAAAATAATAAAATAACGCACGGCGCAGGCGGCGAGAGAGAGAACCTCGCGGTTCTGCACCCGGGGCTGCGCTCCCTCCCCGCACCTCGGGGGTGGGATCCCGCTTCCCTCCCCTTCTCCACACTCGCTCGGACACGCCGCCAGCCCCCCCGNGGGAGGCAGGACCTGCCCCTCTCCGGCCCCGCGCTGTCCCGGAGCTGCGGCTCCTCCCGGCCCCGCGGCCCCGCCGGCAGAGGGAGCGCCCGGGGGGCTCGGCCCGGTGGAGCTCGGAGCTGGCCGGTCCCACACGCTGCCCCCGACCGCCGGGCACTGGGCTCTGCTGCAGGGCTGAAGTTCTGCCACGCTCCTCCGACAGCGTTACAGAGAGATTCTTGTCTGTGTTTTACCGTCAGCGCCCTTCAAGCCAGGTGGAACAGCCCTTCGTTTATATTCACGAGGTATCTTCTGCTTCTTTCAATCTATTGCAGAGGCAGCTGAGGACCCGAGAGAAGAATTCCCTCTTGTCATCCTGCCATGAGATAGGAAGATAGGAAGCTCCTTCCCACCGTTTTACGGCTGGCACTGCAGCACCAGAGATGATCCGGGTTATTGACCCGGCTGACTCCCTCCTGCCTTTCCAGCCCTGCCTCGGCAAGGTCCCATCCAAAGCTCATCACTGCATCTCTGCCATGGTGCCAGAGATGCAGGGGTGCTTTCCAAGCCTGTAGTTTTATGGCCAGATATTATCTCTGATGTAAGATTTTTGGGGGTTTGGTTTTTCTGTGAGTGGAATATTTTAACAGGCCACCAAAAGAACATGGGAAAGTGATGTAAAACACATCCAAATTCTGAGAATTATTTCATAACAACAAGTATTGGAATAGTTGAGATTTGGCTAAACACCACTCAGCTTTAAGTTTATCTGAAGCATACTATCTATCATACTAACAATCTTTCACAAAACAAACCAAAACAACATTCTCCTACCTTTTACCCCAAAGAAAAGAAGTATGTGCTAAGGATATGTGGGGCTGCTTAGCAGGAACATTCATCCAAAAGCAAACAATCCCTCCAAACAGGATTGTACTACAGAGGTGGTACTTGGTGACAGTCTGTGCACCCAGCTCACCCTCATGGATGTAGCACCATTGTTTTTCATTAAACTTCACTAAGCTCAGAAAGAAATCACCTAAACTGCATTTTTGAAATTTTCATCATTATGCACAACCTTTACCTGAACCACCTGTTTCTCTGTGAAATCAAATGTGTGCTCATTAGAGGTTCTACACTGAATACTAGAACCAAGTACCAGTGGTAGTATGACTTGTGGTACTTCTGAGTTTGTAAAGAACAGATTGCTGATACCGACCATTAATACCATTCTCCAGTGACAGAGGCTCAAAGGACAAACAATGGCACAGAAATCCTTGGTGTGGAATAAAAGCATTCCAAATCAGCATTAATACTGCTGTGGGGTTTAGAAAATGTGGTTGTTCACCAAAAGCAGGCACACCTCGAGCACAAAGTACAAGACCGTTTTCAGTGAAATCCATCTGGAAACTTTGGAACCTATAAAGAGTTCAAACAAACAAAAAACCCAACTGTAGAACCAAAATGGCAAAGAAAATGAAAAAAAAAAAACCAAAAAACAATTACTCCTACAGAGCAGTCTTAGTGGTGGTGCAAGTTAATCTTAGAGCCTTTGGAGGTAGCAGGGCTCTCTTCTCACAGAAGTCCATATGCATTTTTCCTAGGATACTACCATAAAAACACCTCAACACCTCTCTTTTCACATCTCTAAAGCCAGCATCACCTTAAAAAAACAAAACTATGCCAAGTGTAAGAGCTTGATTTTAGAAACATAATACTGGGCTTAAATGGGTCAGTCAAATAACCAAGAGTACTGGCAGGTGTTCACTATCACCTGGCACCTGAATTAATACTTCACTGAAAGAAGGGAAAACCCTCCAGCAATATCCAAAGGCTCTCCACAGGCTCAAGCAAACATTCCTGCACCTCACACAAGTCCATCTCACTGGATTATCCCTGGAAATTATAGCAGTGAGAAGTTCTGATTAGAAAAATGAGAGCTACATTCTGGAGAATGAACTGGCATTTAATAGCTACATCCTGGCACAGCCTTAATTTGAAGATTGATGCACAGGCAGGAATCTGATGCAACCAAGTTATTTTCTATCTCCAAACCATCCTCTAGAGGTGGCCCAGCTGACATTGAGTCAGTAGAGACCAGCCCTCTATGCCTGATGTAAATCCTTCAGAAAAACCTGCCAGAATGGGGTTCAAGAGACTGAGTGATGGCCAAGAGCAGTGACCCAATCCCTGTTTCCACTTTCACTTTGAGGATCTGAGATTACTGGAGATAATCCATCCCCACCTTCTGCAGATGCTACTTCTCCCTCATGGCAGCCTGAGTACCAAAAGGTGTGTTGGACAGAATGAAAGCACAATCCATCCTCAGCTTTTTGTTTGGTTTTCTTTCTAATCCACACCTAAAAGTAACTTTTATCTCTAGGTGGCTCAACTGACCTTTGTAAAGACGCACTGGATAAACTGTGATCCTCCCACTGTCAGTAACAGCTATTTCCACGGTGCATCCCACCTGGGAATATTATTCTATCTCTCCCTAAGCAGCATCTCTTAGCCCTAAGACACATGTCCCAGTCCAGAAGGAAGACACACACTCAGGCCCAGCCATAAAGCCAACAGGGCTTTGAGGAGACTCAGCAGAGAAAGTTTTTCCCTCTTTGCAAGTTCCTTGTCACTTCATAACCAATCATCACAGCTGCAATAACCTATCTAAGGTTACAGAGGAATTCAAAGGCAACCAAACCCCCCCTCCCATCAGCATTTATAACGAAATTATGAACCAAAAAGTTGTGCCAGTCTTACCTGTAGCATTTGTAAGTCAGGTACTTCCCCCACCAGCAGTGATCTTGCAGAGGTGGTGTCGGGAGAACCAACTGGAACCTGCAGCTCCCCAAAGCTTTTTGTGTCAGCAACTTTGAGTTTGTGTCAGGTGGAACTTTGTAGCTGTCAGTGCTTGAACAGTCTCAGAAACTCCCAGCGCTTGTTGGGACAAGACCAGCATAACTAACTTTTTAACACACCACTAGGCCTATATATACTACAAGGCAAGAGGAAATGGCCTTAAGTTCCACCAGTGGAGATTTAGATTGGGTACCAGGAAAAATTTCTTCACTGAAGGCACTGGAACAGGCTGCCCAGGGAGCTGGCTGAATCACCAGCCCTGGAGGGATTTAAAAGATGTGTGTGTAGATGTGGCACTTAGGGACTGGTCTAAAGGTGACTTGGCAATGCTTGGTTGATGGCTGGACTCAATGACCTTAAAGGTTTTTTCCCAATCTAAATCACTCTATAATTCAAAAAGTCTCCAACAAACCATCAAAATCCAACAATAGCTATGGAACACTGCTGTAATAACAAGTGCCATGGGCAGTTTCTCAGCAGCTCTCATGAAACCTTGCTGGCCCTGGCTTTAGCTGGTGCATGAGATGAATAAAGCTGCTCCCAAGAGCCAAACACCACGGGTGCTGCGGTGAAGGCGTACCCTGACACGTACAGTGAATCACTTCAGGATAAGGAAGAGAAAGCGAAGGCTGATGTGGTAGCGTTTCCCATCACACTTTCTACCAGACAGGTTGACCTTTATCTGAGATCAAAGGCACGGGTGGCTGGGGATTTCTTCAGCTCCAGTGTAGGGGCTGCTCTCAAAGCTCTCTGAAGACGCGCAGCCCGTGCGCCGCTGCCTCTTGCCGTCACTTCGAGCTGGGGAAAGGCACACAGGAAATCCTCAGTTACAAATAGAACCTGGAGTTTTCACTTCAGGAGATAACATCAGTTTTTCTTAGAGGCAGAGGAGACAGTAAAAGGCGGCAGCCAGGCAAACCTCCAAGAACAAAGGGACGAACCTCGAAGTGAACCTGCCTCATGAACATTTGAATGTGGAATCAAAGCACCGGGGGGGAAACGCTGCAGAGAGAGGGGTTTGGTCTGTGCCCAAATTCAGCACAAATTATACAGAAAGAAAATGCCAATTCTGTAAAATAGGCTGAGAGTCTGACAACACTCTTTCCCTTCCCCATCTCCTGCATTGTGTCAAAGAAACCAGTATTTTCCTTGGGTAACCACAGGCAAAACTTCACCCTCCTAAGGGTAGGCCACAGCAAGTCTCTTCATTTTCCACCACCCCTTTGACATGCAGGCAATTCATACCTTTACACCTCTCCTTCAAGTATCCAGAGTTACTGTTTGCTGATCAAGTTTTATCTTCCTTGGAGACCTGCCTCTGTAGCCTTCATGTGTAGCTGCTACACAGGTTGCCGGCATGTGCACAAGATATTCTGCTAAGTGACCAGCCATATCTTCCTTATTTTGTATTAACTGTTAACTATTTTAGCTAATATGACTTCTTGTCTGCTTGTATAAACAGCTTTGTGAAAAAGGAAAATGGTCATTATTGCTGAACACCAATAATAACTTACTGTCATCCACCACAAATTATCTGCAAGTCCTTGTCTCGTGTCCTAGCACTGAGCAAACTGCCTTTTCCAATCCACTGAGCCACAATTCCTTGCACAGACACAAACCTTTCCCATTTCTGCTGGAGAAGCAGCCTCTCCCCAGGAGCGGAGGAAGAGGAGAAAAGCTTTCTGCTAATTTAAATACATGGCTCTGTGCATGTTTTTATTATCTAAACACTTGTGGTGACTCGGGTGTTCGTGCAGCTCCAGGAATGCCTCCTGTTTATCAGGTTGTGCAATCCGTCACTGTCAGCTGAAGGAGGTCTCGGGAGCAGCGTTTCTAATTTGATTTGAAAATATACATGGAAACCTGAGCCTGCTTTTAGCAAGAATGATGGGGTTGGCCTAATGAACACAATCTCTCTTGTCGCTCTCGAGAGCAGTGTGTCAACAGCCAAAGTTTAGGCTCCCTCCGTGGTTGCAGCAGCTTCTGTGGGGAAGCAGCAGCTCCACGTCTGTGTCACGTTCCTGGTTCTGCTTTACCATCGAAAGGCATTTCAGTGGGATTTTAACAGGCAAATGCAAACAGGGGCGAAGTTTTTCCATGGATCTCTTGAAGAGAAGTTTGCAACAGGCAGTTTCTTTTTCATGGCAACTTCTTCCTCTGAGCCTTCATACACTTGTGTGGCACCAAATGTTGCTAAGAAAGCGTTCATCTAAAGCCAGTTCTCAGATAACTCAGAAGTTGTCACTGCTTTCCCCCCAGAAACTGGCTACAGGAAAAGGAACGTGCCACAGGAATCCCATGGATTTCTGGCTGCAGCATCATCCACTTCAATATTTACACATTTTAACTTCGCAGGGGAAAAACCAAACCAACAGCCCCACACCTTTCTTTCACTCTTTTATGGCTGAAAAGGTAAGTCTCTTACCACAAATCTACAAGAGAGCAGTGACGTCACTTTGCCACATCCCAACGAAAAAATGATAAAATACAATTTGCTATTCACCTCTATTTTTTCATCCTTTTCCCATTTTCTGGGATTTACTTCTCTGACAGATGCTGCAGTTGGCAATTCAAGTATAAAGTGCCAAGACACCCCCTCCTGCATGTTTGACCTGGTTTGTTGTACTCTAGAAGAGCTTGTCAGGCACATCTTGGAATTTAGCTCCGTAGTAACAATGACCTGCCAAGGAACATTCAGTGTTAAGGGCCAGATTCTGTTCCTGAGGAAATCAAAGTTAACCTCGGTTCCCTCTGAGATTGAGGAAGTCAGGAGACTTTGGTATTTTGGAGACAGTGTAAAAAATATTATCCCTCAGGAGCCTTTGGGTTGAAAAGGTCAGATTTCTCCCACCAAAAAGGACTGGGAAAACCCTTGACAGTGAAGAACAGAAAACACACATGCCCCTGCACATACTGTCACGTTGCTGATGAAAACCCACCTCATTTCCATCGGGGTGGGAGACAGGCTGCTCCAGTTCCACACAAGCCATGGGGAAAGCTTGCACTGCCTCTCCTGCTGGCTCCCACCCAGGAGGACATGTACAGACACACACTCAACACAGGGAGGTTGTGACACCAGAAACTGTGTGTTTGTGTGTGCTGGGGGGTGGTCCCTCTTTTAGACTCCCTCCATGACTCTCTGCTTTGAAACCACTCCTGTGATTCTTGTTTCTTTCCCTGATCAATTAAACATGCTGTCCTTGAGGAGCCAAAGAATTCCCATGTACAAAGAGCACATCTATTGTGAAACACACCTTGCTCAAAGTATCTCAAAGCCTACTCAGGATCCTGTCTCTATTGCCTCCCAAGTTCAGTAGTTTTGAAATTTATGCAGAAAATGGAATTTCCTCCTAAATTAGCCTGCCCATTGACTTTCCAGAACACTGCAGTGATGCTGCTTCAAGGTGACATTTCTTGGAGCAGCAGCATTCCCAAGGGAAGGATTGCACTTTTGCCTACAGTAATTGTTCCATAGATTTTCAGCAGTATAATCCAGCATAAAAGAAGCACCTGAATAAAGAATGCCACGTGTGCCCAGCTGAAAAACAGAATACACATTTTATATTAGCTTAGAACTGTGGTCATCATTGCCTCAGTGTTTGCACCAATTCCCCATCCTGCTTATTAAATAAAAGAAAAAAAAATAAAAATACTTGACAACAATTCGCTAGTGGCTTCTAGTCTTTTCTACATGGAAGACCAGACAGAGACCTCAGAGCATTCAAGAAAGATCATCTTCAGCTCCAGCAGATATTGAGGTCAACTGCTCAGGTATTATTTATGTCCACACCTCTCACAGTAGTGAAATAGCTGTCACCACCTGGCTGGATTTCAGCTCTGCAGAGGGCAATTATCAAAACCTAAACATCAATCTGTTAGAACTTACACACCACTCTGTTCTCTCAGCAAACCAACATGACTTCTCTATTTCTCCTCAAAATGTCCCATTTCCAGAAAACTTAAACCTTTATGCATCCAAGATCCAGATATATTTTACCATATTCAGAGTCTTTGCTGCAGGTATAGTACAGGGGAAAAAACAAACAAACCAACACCACACCTTCTTTTTACTCTTTTATGGTTGAAAAGACATGGAAAAGATCTCTCACCACAAGCCTGCAAGAGCTCAGCAGTAGCACTACTCATATTTCATCACACACCAACAGTGTGAAACATGGGAAGTAAATGGAAAACAACATTTTTGGAGCTGGACTGATGTCAAGAATTACCTTTCAAAACCATCTGCTGGGTTTTTTTTAAAAACTTGCCACATGAAAAAACAACAACTTTGAGTCAATTACAAACACTCCTGTAGACTCATTAGCTCCTGCAGACTTAATTTTCCAAGGTGCCAATTGTTATAGAGTAAAAGTGCTCAGCTTCTTAGGAAGACAGAGAAAGTTATCATTTGCTCAGAGTTTTTTCTAAAGCAGGAAGGGACAATTCCTACTGTCAGACCTCCCTGGGCAAAGAAAAGAGAGGTTGAAAAGAAGAACCACCACAGGAAAACCAAGCTGAGATGCTGAGAACTTCCAAGAAATGCATTTTCTAAATCACATCCTGCTTTCTGCATGCTGTTAGGTATTAGGATACCCATATGTATCCTAATTTGTGTTTATAAAGATGCAAAGTTAGCATCAGAGTTGTAGTAAAAGTGGAATTATTCCCTGTTTGCTCCTCGAGGAGCAGCTAAACCAGCTCTACTGTTCCTGTTAAAAGTAGCTTAGACAGGAGACAGCTGGTCCGTCGGCTCTGTTTTAAACTTAGGTTTCAGACTAAAATTAAAAAAGCCTGAAAAAACACCATTTTCTCAGTGTATTTCATGGCAGGACAGCTCAGCCAAAACCCATGGATGTAACGGCATTACTTGTTTGTTTGAGGAAACTTGCCATGCTCCAAAGCACCTCCACATCATCAACATTTTCAGCGCCAGTGGCTGCTCTGCTGAATTGTGTAGGGGAAAACAATCCTTCCTGGCAGGGAATGGGAAGGAAGCAGCACAACAACGCCTGTGTTAAGAGAGATGACTTCCAAAGGTGTGACAAGAAGAGCTGAACAGG